ACCATGAAAAGGACCTGTTTGTTATCTCCGGTAGACCTTCCTTGGCAGAGATAGGGAAGTTCATTGGTCAAGTGAAACCATCCAGGTAAGGAAAATAACCACAGTCAGCCTACAAGATGGATTTTCATAAGCCAGGAATGGTTTCTTAACCAAAGATCAAAGAACAACATGACGTCAAGAGCAGAGCTACAGAAAGCATTGGGCTCTCTCTCGCTCATGAGGGTACACTCCCTTAGTTTAAAAAACAAAGGACAACAGAACTTTGGTCACTCCTAGATGACAGAGCCATCCCGCTTGGAAACTGCTTTGCTCTCAAAAAGTAAAGGTGGGTAGATGCAGTGTTGAAGGAGTATCTGGGGGGTAAAAAAGGATGAATCATTTATGAACCTCACAATTGGACAAATGCAACAACCTCCCAGTTGTGTTTTGTTTCCTTAATGAACAAACATATGAATGTTTCTTCACACTTCAGGAACTTTTAGGTGCTGGATACTAAGACTGATGACAATTGGCCCTGCCTGCCCTAACAAAGCTTACAACTTTGGGAACTAAGTATGCTGACAATTCACGTGTGTATGTTAAGACCTGTAGGCTAACAATGTCACTTTCCACCTAAGTTTTACACACCAAGGCTCTGCCTTATTTTTCTTTTGCCTGATACTCTGCTATACTATGTGCCTAATAACTCCATTCCTCCTAGACTGACCTTGCCTCTGCCAACGCCCCCAGAAACTCTACATGCTGACACACTTTATTGACTCCCAACTAAATGCCTACTAGCATCTCTTTATTAACCTCCTTCTAGATTCTCCAACCCCCATCTCTGCCCTACTAGCCTACCTAGATATCCCTTCTTCTTGCTGTTTTTCTCTGACCCCAGTCTCCAGTTTTCTCTGTTTCAAGATTTGAGCTCCCCAAACCTCTTAAGTGTAAAGAGAAAACCAAGTTCTTAATCAGAACACTGTGTGGAGGGCTGCAAATTGGTGGCCTTTTAAAGGCTGAGGTCACTGAGGGGCCCATTCTCATTGCCAGGCGTCTCTGCATGGCCCGAAGCAGGCAACTGGGTACCCTCTCTCTGGACAGTTCTGGAAAAACATAAGATGCTTTGTGCTTTTGTTTTGGTAGCTCCAGATGTCACTTTTCTTCTTTGCACAATTCATTAGGCTCTAGCTTTCTTTTACTTTCATTCATGCTTTGGCTAAATTAGCTCTTCATTTTAACTTCTTGTTCTTAATTTGTGACCTAAGAATTCTGCAAAGAACTAACAGTGTAGATGTAACTGGTTATCAAGGAAGAAAAAGAGAGAAGAACAACATGGAGAGAGATTTCATTTCTGTGGCCCCCTTGTTCATGTAATAGTAGCAGGAGGTGCATTTTCTCTTCAGGAACTGAAGACATTTCCAATTGTCATAGATGAGGGGTGCTACTGACAAATAGTAGCAGTGGCCAGGAATACTGCTAAATGTCCTACCATGCACAGGACAGCCCCCCCCAACACACACACAAAATCATCCAGCTAAAAATGTCAGCAGTGCTAAAGGTTGAGGATCTCTAAATCTCTGGATTACAGTATATTCAAAAGGCCAAGGAAGATTACATAACTACTTCTCACTTGGTTAGAAGTTTATCTCAATTCTCTGAAATTATCAGCAACACCCCTAATGATTTGGCTGACTCTAATGGTAAAGCTTCTGCTTGTGGGATTTCACACACTCTCACCTTAAAGTTCAAAGAATTGCTCATTGACCAGTTATCCTTAACCACATGTGTAGGGACCAGCTGACCCACATGACTGATAGACCTTTTCTCACTGGACACACATGAAAGCTTATGTTTGGGAGTCATTGCCAAAACTTGTAGTGTTGGATGTGTTGAGAGACTTGCAAATGGCAGGAAGGAAAGTGGAAGTGAAAAACCTTACGTGGAGAGAAATTCCACTGGGTTTATTATGCCTTACAAACTTTATGAGTGAAAGAATGCAAACAGTTTCTCCTTTAGATGGAAAGCATGCCAGCTTTGACTAGGAGTTCCCTTCTGTCCCTTCCTTCCATCATTAGGAGCTATAAAAGCAGGAAGAACGGAAAGAGGTTGGAAATGGGCAGGCCATCTGGTCAGCCTGAGAGCTTTAGCTCTGAGGTGGTGCTATGGAAAACAGAAAACAGAGACATGCTGCCAAATTGGATCAGACTTTCCCTTCTATGTTTTAGTGATAGAAATGCAATACTGACAAACTGATAATACTGTTATGACGGAGGAAGGTGGAGTAAGGTCTAGGATAGGATGGAGGGAAATAGTCTTTTTTGTCTGTGTTTCTATAAAACTTTATTTACAAAAATCAAACGAGTTGGCCTTTGGACCATAGCTTGCAAACCTCTGGTATACTAAATAGACGAAGTGCATTTTAAATATAAAGGTGCAGGTATTGTAGGTTAAAAATGAAATATACCATGCAAACACAAAACTTTAGAAAGCTGAAGTGGCTAAATTAATATTAGAAAAACTAAATATCTGGACAAGAAGAAAGACATCTTTACCAAAAATGAGGAAATTTTATAATGATAAATAAGACAGTTTATCAAGAAGACATACTATTCTAAATGTGTATGCATCTAACAAAGATCTTAGAAATATATGCAGCCAAAGCATATAGAGTTCAAAAGAGAAACAGACAAATCCACTGTTATAATCAGGTATTTCAACTTTCTTTTCTCAACAACTGTTAGAAAATGTAGACAGAAATCAGTAAGTAAACAAACTTGTTACAACTGTAAAATCCAATCTGTGAGGGAAATAATCTTTTATGAAGACCTCCCTACACAAAAAATAGTAACTTTTAAAAATCTGATTCCTTTGACATCTTATGTAAATCATCTCTTTTATCATTTAACAAAAAACAATAAAAATTGGGAATGTAAAATCTAAAACTGAGAATCTGAGCATGTGCATCTTATAGGGCCATACTGAAAGCAGGCCAGGGTGCCAATTTTGACTGTTAGATCACCATGGCAGGTTCTGAGCCTACGAGACACTGTTAAGCAGATGATCTGAGCTACAGGAGTATGTCTATAAGGGTTGAAATAAGAGAAAGGACATGTTCCAAATGAATGATGAAAGAAAAATTGGGTATGGATTTGTCATTTATGGGCAAGTGTCATCTTATGAACTGGGTGTGTTCTCCAAAGTTCAATTGGCTACTGGAAGCAATAACAGCACAAGTAGAGTGGAAGGAAGTAGAAGTAGTTCGCTGATTGCTGGATAGGACTTTAAAAAATTCATAGTCCAATGCTTATTTTAAGGAGAAAGAAAGTGGTTCAGAAAAGTTGATCATCTTGCCCAAGACCACCGTGAGATTTAGGAACAAAAGTGGGTCTTGGGATTCCCCAGGCAGTCCACTAACCATGTTGCGTTGTCTACAAACAGGAAGTCAGTAAAAATGATGGTGAGGAGCAGGGGATAAGAGGTGGGCTGCCCAGGTGACTGAGAGGCAGGAGGAGGGAGTGGAAGAAGTAAAGGTGGTAGGAAAGGAATACACCAGAATCAAGGGGCAGAAAGTGTGATGACTGGTCTGGATCTCACCCTACCAATAGTAGACAATTATTGGTGTACTGAGTGGAGGCTTCCTATATGTGGGGATTTGGTACTTACTGTTTCACAGAAGATGTGGCATACAAGGAAAGAAATGACCAAGATGGAGTTCTGCAAGTTCTTTTCAAAATGTCAGCATTTCTAACTGCTGTTTTCTCAGCCCCCTGAAATTCATTAATTTACTCAATAAATATTTACTGAACCCCCTATCTTGTGCCAGTTACTGTCCCAGGCCACATGGCTACAGCAGTGAATAAGACAGACAAGGTCCAGTTCCACTGGAGTGTGCTTTCTAGTGAAACAGATAAAAAGTGAGCAAATAAATATGACAATGCCTGATCCTGTCAAGTGCTACAAAGAAAATAATTCAGAGTTAATATGACAGTGACTAGAGAATCTACTTTAGAACTGGGTGGAGAGGAAAAGCCTCTTTGAGGAGATGACATTTGGTGATATGCAAATAGCTAAAGATTGACAAGTCTAGGTAGAGAGCAAAGCCGGTACAAAGGCCCAAGTGCGTAATCAAGCTGCCTGGTGTGATCAAGGAACACAGGAAAAGCCAATGTGGCTGTGAATAAGGAGGAGTAGATGAAATGAGGTCATCAGGGGTGAGCTCAGCCCTATCAGATTGATGCATGTGTTCATGTAACAAATATTCATTAAACACTTACTATGCCCCGGACATTGCTGAAACTATAAAACTGAAACTGAGAAACCCTATCTCAAGGATTGTCCCCAGGAAAGAAGTTAAAGTTTTAGTAAGGGTGACAGAATACTCAAAACGACTCTGCTACAGGTTAGAAAGTGTTCCCCTCCAGACAGAATCACGACGCAGACATTACTGTGTCGCTTAACAAGGACAGGGGCTTTCCAAATCCAATTGTATCAACACACCCATGCACCAACCTGAGTCAGTTTATAATCTAAATAGGCATACTAGATGCCCAAAGCCACGGTATGAGGCCTGAGATACCGCCATCTGCTCCCCTAGGGTAACGAGGTAGGATCATTTCAGAGATGAGTAACCGAGCCCACCTTTCCTCATTGGGTGCGCCTTCTCGGTCTTCGTGGGTGGGGGAGAGCCATAGGAATCCCCCGACCCGGGCCTTAGTCCACCGCATTCAGAAAACCCAGGCAGGGGAGCCGCGGTGATTAGCACCTGATTCACCGAGGCACTCCAGGGAGGGTGGCGACTGCTGGTAACAGCCTCCGCCCCAGGCCCCACTTGTCGCCCCAGGCCCCACTTGTCACCCCAGGGGAAAAGGTCTGCGGATGTTTTGGTGACTCGGACCTGCCTCAGCGGGCTGGTGACGCTCTGCCTCCGGGTAGAGGTGACGCCCGGTCGACCCCCGGGCTCCGCCCCCGCCCACGCGGCTCCGGGGAACGCGCCTGCGCGCTCGAGCCCGCCTGGCGCTGGGAGCCTGGGTCCGCGCCCCTCCCCCGCCGATCACCGGGAGCCCGACTACAGGTCCCAGGGAACTGGCAGGGGAGAATGCCAGGGTCTCACTAGGGGCGTACGCCAGCGAAGCGAGACCGTTTCCCGGCGGAGACACTGCTGCTCTGCCCGGCCCGACCGAGAAGTCCAGGGCGGACAAGCGGAAAGCCCCAGAATCGGTGCCGGGTCCCTGTAGCCAGCGCGGTCTCCCGGACGGCCCTGGTTGTAGTTGTTGTTGTTTATACTTAAGAGCACGAAATTCCTTCCCAGCGCCTCCTCCCTCCCGCCCCACCTGCTCCTGGGCCTCCTGCGGTAACGCCATTAGGGAGCCTGAGCCCTCATTGCCAAGGGTGCCTGAGTTCGCATTCAGCCACCATGGGGAATGGGATGAACAAGGTAAAGTGCCTTTCTTTCATCTGTGCTGTTTTTGCCTCTACTTTTCAGCCTTCCCTCCGGCGGCGTTTGCTGGTCAGAGAAGGCCTGGCCGGTCTCCCGGTCCTCGCTCGGCACCTGCTACCCTGGTGTCCAGTCCCCGCAATTTGAACATGGGGAGGGGGCGGTGCATCTGGGCGGTGCCGGGTGAGTCTGCGTTTCCAGGCACCCCCAACGGGCCCCCGCGGGCTTCCGGGTGAGCAGCTCCCCCAGCCCAGCCGGTGGTGTTCTGCGGCCGACAACCAGCGTGCCCTTTAAAAGCGTTGGTAGTTCTGCCGACGCGTTGGCTGAGCACCGAGCCCTGCGGTTTCTTCTTTTGCTCCCCCCTTCACTCCCAGACTGGGCTCTTGAAGCGTCGCCACCCCGTATTATTAATAAACTGCAGTAGATAGGTGTCTTCTATTCTGTAACTTCCTTCTCTCCTCAGGTTTTTTTTTTCTTCTTCTTCTTTTTTTTTTTTAGTGTGTACAGAGAAGACTTTCGTAAGGACAGAGAATTTGACAGAGACCTAAGTCCTGGGGTTGGTGGGGTGAGGGCGGGACAGGTGAGAGAACAGATTCAGAGCTGATTTATACTGTGTCATGTGTCTTCCGCAATAAGGCCAACCTGTTGGCTGGCTGCTTGTGCAGATTATGCCTTGTAGAAAATCCGAACATCTCTCTCCTCTTTGTTCATCCCCCCTCCCTCTGCTCTCGTTCCTCCAGACTCACACCCCCCAGGCTGTGGGATAGCCTTGTATCCTTCCTGCCACCAGAAGGTACCAGATGTCAGTTCTTACAGTTGAGAGTTGCCTGGGAGTTGACCTTGTATGTATTCATGGCAAGCACAAGGTTAAAGGATTTGTGATGTGGTACTACTGGTTTAAAGGAAGGACATTAAAAAACTTTTAAAAAGCCCTCAACAAAGACAAGATCACAGGTTTTTAAAATGGTCCTGGGGCAGAAATTAGCTTCTGGTCTTCTACTTCTCTTCCCCTATTAGTTCCGCTCATACACTTCTCCACAAACATTCAGCTTTCATATTTGGTGAATATAACCATGTAGCTTTCTTTTTTGATCGTCTCAGGATTGGTGTCAGTACTGATTTGGCTCTTCTAGCGGGAGTGTTAGTGTTAGGCGACAAGGAAAAGTGCAGAAGTAGTCCTGTGTACCTAGTTAACTTTTTTCTCCTGCCCATGTTGTATTTCTTGGTTTCTGCAGATCCAGTTTATGAAAGAACTGTGTGTTTTGGGCCTACATAGCTGAGGTCTTTTCGTAACCAGAATTGTATTCATTGTGTGTGGGGTGTTTACGTTGTGCTGGAGTGGGGGGGTAGATGGTGGGACAGTGATCAAGTTTGGAAACAGACTGTTTGTCTTTTGAATAAATACTTGCATTATCTTCCCATTAGTACTGCAATCCATCAACACCATAAATCTTCTGCTTTTTAAATTAAAACAGAAGAATAAAACTGCTTTCCCAAGTTTGTAGTCCCTGTCTGCTTTCCCATTAATTGTGGTCGTACCTTATCTTTCCTTTGTTCTTTCTACCGTTTTTTCCATTTAAATTTTTCACTCTCCAGCTCTTTCAGCGTTTAATGTTACATTTATATTATAATTCAAAGAACATATTTCAAAATACAAATGATTGTCTAAGAGCTCAAAATTAATTTCAGGGTTGCCAACAAAAGCGGTTATACTCAATCATAATTTTACTTTTCAAAGAAAATGATAAATTTCTTGATGGTGTTACTACACTAATCATCCTGTATTCTAAATAGAACCACTATCTCCAATGTAGATGTGGAAAAATGTACATACAGACAGATTTAAAGACATCCTTAATTCAACAAACATTTATTGTGTACTTGCTATTATAGTCAGGTGCTATGCTGGTTGAGAGGGTGGAGTTAATACAATGGTAATGACACAAACAAAAGTCTTTCACAGAATGTTCAGTATAGACCAGTGATTGCCCAATAGAAATATGTGAGCCATATGTTTAATATAAATTTCTTTAGTAGCCATATTAAAAAAAGTAAACAGAAACAGGTCAAATTAATCATAGTAATATATTTTATTTGACTGAAATGTATTCAGAATCTCATCATGTCAACATGTAACCAATATATAAAACTATTTATAGAATGCTTTATAATTTTTTTGTACTAAGTCTTCAAAGTCTGGTGTGTATTTTATACTTAAATTATACCTCATTTGAAATCAGTCACATTTTAAGTACTCAGCCACTGTGGCAAATGGCTACTGTATTATACAACATGGGTGTCTGTATATGTATATGTGTGTGTGTGAAAGAGAGAGAGCACACAAACACAGGGTGGGGAAGAGTAGAGGCTCCAGAAGATACGATAGCAATTTCAGGAGCATGGGCTAAATAGATATGATGAGAGAAAGCTAGAAGTGTTGTTCAAGCCAGGCCAATGATCCTGCTGGGGTAAAAATGTCTAAGTTGAGATCAGAATGAATTGCTCAAAGCTACAAGTTTAGTTAGTGGCAAAGTAGGTTGCTGGAAGCCAGAAATTAAAAGCCTTAACTAGAATTTGTTCATGTGTTCCTGTGAGAACTAGGCTTTTTTGTTTCCCCATCTGTTAAAAAAAAAATTGATATGCAGAATCAGTGGAATTATTATAAGGTGCTAACGACCTTAGAAATGCTTCTCTAAGAACATATATAAGTAACATATAATACCCTTAGAACTAAAAACATAGTTTATAATATGTGTGTCCTGAGGTTACTGGGACAAGATTTCTTTTCAGTCTCAGTCAAGTTGGACATCCTTGACAAAAGAAAACTTATGAACTAAACAATGCAGATTCTGTTCTGACTGCTTTGAGTATAGCAGTTTTTATTTATATCTCATGCCCTCATAGAGGATCTTACTCAGTTGTTATAGTCTCTTGTGGGAGAGCGTCATGCCCATCTCAAGTGTACACACTGTGTTAACACAGAATATAAAGGAAAGAGACTTCTGTATCCTGGGCAATTAAATATGATGAAGAAATACAAAAAGAGAACACAGCAGTTGTGATTTACTGTTTTTTTGAGTCTCATATTATGTGCCTGCAGTTTATAAAATCTAAGCCTCACTACAGTCCTAGGAGAGCAGTCTATTTTATCCTTTTTGTACAAGGTACAGATTGGGAAATGGAGACTTGGAGAGATTAAGTAGCATGACTAAGGTCATGATGGTAGGAAGTGACAGAACTGGATTTGGAACCCAGTTACCACTAATTCTGAAGATAGCAGTCTTTTCTTTGAGCTAAGTGAATGCTGAAGACACTAAAAAGTGACTTGAAAAATTCCCCAGAGTTACAAATTAATGCAAAATAGGAAGGCCACCGCCTCTCTTCATGTTGACATTGATAGAGGAGGGAAAGGAAGGCAACTAAAACTATCATTTCATTGCTTTTTGTATAGTTCCCAAACAGACTCTCTGAACTGGCGCAAATTATAATCACTAATGAGCTTATTGTGTGCCAGGAAATGTTTTGAGACTTTAGCACATAGAACTCATCTGATCCTCACCACAGCGCTATGAAGTAGGCACTGTTATTTGTATTCCTGCTTTACAGATGAGGTACACAGAGATTAAGTGACCAGCCCAAAGTTACCCATTTGGTGGGCAGCAGAGCCTGGACTCTAAGCCAGATGATTTGGCTCATAGCCATAATGCAGAGTGCTTTACTGTGCTGCTAAGGGCAGTCTAGTAAATGTCCCCAGGAGGACTAGGGTAAACTAAACAGGCTATTGCATGGCAGTGTCTTGTTTCTGTAGAGCCTTTGCAAACTTGTAATTGACTCAAAGTTCTCTCAAGTGTCTAAACCCCCAAATCTTTTGGGGAGAGCCTATAAAGAAAACTCCTAACCTCATTGTCATATTATTAGTCTTAAGTACAACAATACCTCATTAAAAAAAAAAAAAAATCTAGCCTTTCTAGCCAGCATTATGTTGGAGAAATCTGCCCCAAAAGCTTCCATGTGCATTTTTTTTATCTTGATCAACCCTAACTAATGACCTAAAAATGGGCGGAAGTGTTACCATGCTAGGATAGGATATGAGGACTTACTGGCTCTGAAATCTTTTCCCTCACTGACTATCAGGGTTGGTTCAATTCATCCAATTCTCAGCTGCCCAATATGGTAACTTTTTCCTTCCTTATGGCTCTGCATCCTCTGAAAGCATTCTTTCTGGTGGAAAAAGATGTTGTCCCAGAATTTATAGGAAACTTGCTCATGATAATGGGAAACAACACTTCAATTAGTGCATCACTTTTTCATGAGAAACTCACTATTGTGAAAGAAAGAGGGACGGAGGTATCAGAAAGCCTCACTTGGAGTGTCTCTACCACTCTGCTACTTCATCCCGTGATCTTGAACAAGTCACTTTATGTTTCTGAGCTTCAATTTGTTTATCTCCGTCGATTCATATTGATGGTGGGTAGCTTATCTAGTCTCCTTATTTGCTCTAAAATGAGTATAATGATACTTCCCCAGTTTCTACTCAGATTTTTAAGAGACGCGATTGAGAATTTATTGGAAGACATTTTTGAGAACTGTAAAATACAAATCTGGTGCATCAATAGTTATAGTAGCGAGGACATCTGCCTTGGATATGGTTGACATCTGATTTAGGATGGCTTTTTTCACCTTAGGAAGATAAGGAATTATAGTTGCATAAGGAATACAGTTAAGGGGAAAAGAGCAGGGGGAATATGCAATATGCTCCTTATGGATAATCCAGGATTTCTCAGCTTCTGCAGTACTGACAGATTGAGCTGCATCTTTCTTTGTTGTGGGGACAACAAAGAAAGTGCATTTTAGGAAGTTTAGCAATATCGCAGGCCTCTACCCACCAGGTGCCAGAAGTTCCCTACCCCCCATGTGACAACCAAAAATGTGTCCAGGTATTATTGCTAGATGTCCCCTGGAGGGCAAAATCATTCCCCATTGAGGAGTCTTCACTCAGAATCTCTTGAGGCCTGTGTAATCTGGAAGTGAATCATTCTTAAAAGGAGGAAGCAGACCTAAAAGGGTGAAAAGCACTGTTTTGGTATGGTAAGGACCTGGATGGTCACACATCCCAGTCTATTAGGTGCTGCTGTTTCTACATGACATCACCTGAGTTGGCTGCTTTCATAATTCACCCAGCTGTCCATTCACCTATTCATCAAATCAGGTTATTGAACACCTGCTATTGTTCAGGCACTGTGCTAGATCCTGTATGGGAAATAAGTGTGAAAGACAAGAAGATCCTGCCACCCACATTAGTCCAGGCAGCTTACAGAGGAATCCCTTTGTGGGCGGTAAGTGTACTGTGGGAGGTGAATGTATTGTGAGTGGCACACTGGTACAGCTGTGTCTGTGGGACTGATGGTAGTTCCATGATGGTGGCCACTCTGTCTCCTCTATACCACCCCCTGGATACTTTCTTTTTTCAACATTGCAGTTTTATTTCATATTGAAGGAGTAGATGCTTAAGGCATATAAGTGTTCATTAGATTATTCTCAGAATCTTCCTTTTATAAGTGCAAGCTGGTTAAGTCCATAACCAAATGGCATTAAGAAAGTCTGTGACATTTAACCCTTCGGGAATCCACCAAAGTTCTCCCCTTCGCCCTGGCTTTAAAATTCAGAAAGTCCTTTCTAACCTCAAAAAAATCACATACCCTCCCAGTTCCACTACCTGTAGTGTTGCTTGACCAAAAATTGACACACTTACATCTGTTTGGGTGGTGGTCTTAGATTCCACTGCATCCTGAAAAACTACGAGAACTGTTTAAAAAGTCAATTCAAAATATTTCCTGCCTTAGAAGCAGTATCCTTTAGTGCTTAAGAGCTTTTTTTGTGGCTAAGGAGTTGATTTTATGCATTTCTGTATGACCAGTGTCAGTAAGGTGTGGATGTGCATAATGTTGATCAAGAGGAGCCATCAGTCATGGAAAATTTTTAGCATGGTCTCAAAGTATTAGTGCAGAAGGAGTCTACTTTTCATTATCTATCTTAAGACAGCCTTTTAACAGAAAACAAGAATCTTTTTTGACCAGCAGTGTTAATCTGCCATCAGTGATTATCTTTTCATGTGCCAAACTCAATGGTAGGATTTTGGGACACAGCAGGGCAGAAAACAGACATGACGCCTGCTTCAAGGTCAATCAAAAAAGTAGGCAAATAAAATAATTTTAGGTATGAATGAATGTGATGAAGGAAATAAGACAAAGTGATGTGATAGTGTTAGGGAGTTTAGTGATCAGGAAAGACCTCCCTAGGAGCTGTCATCTCATGGGACACCTAAATGACAAGGAGCCACCTAGGTGAACAACGAGGGAAGAACATCCTTTGCCGAGGAAAAGAACAATTGTTTCTAAGGCCCAAAGATGGGTAGAATCAATTCTGACCTTAATCTTTCAGAGTCATAGAACATTCGCAAGTTGCATTTATTTATAACCTTTTTCCTTGATCTATTCTTACCTCCTACCAGGTGAGGATGGTTTCACTCCTGCTGCATTTTTGCTTCTGGACTGAATTCAGACGCCATGAACTCACATGTTAATCCAAATGAATACTCATCTCTTCCCTGGGCTCCTCTATAAGCCGTCTCTCTCCTAGCAAATTATTTTGTTTCATTTTATTTTCTTTTCCTGTAGTTAGGGATTATTAGCAACAGCAATGTTGGGGAAGTCTGGTCAAATTTTTTGAGTTTCAGGTTTGAATTGCAAAGCTGATTGGTGTAGAGGTTTAAATATTCATGGGCTTTTTATTCTCCTTGAAAACAAAAATGTAATTTTTCTCCCTCCAATGATCAGTCCTTCAGCCTTCCTTGATCTTGGTTTATAATTTCATATGGAATAAACTACACAAACTGAGGTTGAGAAATTTACTTTTTTATTTCAGCTTGTGAAACTCTAGCCTACTCTTCTGGTCTGGGAAATGGAGTTAAAACTTTACTGACACAACTCTGTCCTCTCCTTATTGCTTAAAAATATTTTAACTGCATACAAAATGTGCATCTTAAATGATTTTTAGTAAGTTGGCTCCTTGATTTTAGTGAGTTCAGACCTTTGCCTCTGCCAGCTCTCTGCCCTGGTGACCCTTCAGGATGCTGCTCTCCTCCAGCCCCAGCCCCAGCCCCAGCCCCTACCCCTTCCCCAGCCCCTGGCCTGGTGTCACTGACCCCAACATGGAAGCTGGACTGGGCAGACAGGGACAAAGTTTGATCTCACAGGTGTCAGTCAACATTGTTTCATATCTCTCCTTCCCTTGCTTCATCTCTTCTCACCCTATTCACGTTGGTTATTTCTTCCTTGAAAAATCATTTACTTGAATATCCTACCAATCAAGGGAAAACCATTTGAGTTTAGAGAAAAGATAAACACAAATATGATACAAATAGCAGATAAATTAGACATCATAAGGACATAGTCAACCTGCACATGTGTTTTATTTATCTATTGCAATACTTTAAGTTTTCTTAATCTAGTTGACAATATTTGAAAATTAGGCTGTTTCCCACAAAACCTGGATGCTGGAATTGAGGGGCCTGGCCTATGCCTCTGTGTGCTTGGATACTGCAAAGATTGGGGAAGGTGCTGGGCATAGGGCAGAGGCCATAAATATAAAAACCTGAGTCCTTGAAGGTCTCATTCACTGAAGTGTCGAATTTGCGTGTCAGCCTGATAGCTACTCGAAGTCCTAAGAAGATTTTAATCTGAAATATCACATGATCAACTTTGAACACTGGAGATAGGTTGAGGAATCCTTTGTACTTGTCCAGCCCGGAGGAAGGGAGATCTCTAGGAAGCTCCTGCAGTAAAATCAGAGGGGAGGGCCTAAGAAGCTGAACAAAGGGACTGCACTCAAGCTCCCTTTGAGGAGTAGAGGGGCTTCCCAAGAGGAGTAAAAGGAAGTGCTAGATGAGGGGTAAGTGGAGTCCAGAGTAGGAGGAATCTCCTGTCAGAGTGACTTCTGACTGGGTCTTGGAGCGCCATTGGGGTGCTGCTTTCAGGGTGGGTAGGACTTTGCTAATCTGTGATTTCCTTGATGGTTTGTGAAGCTTATTTGCGTTTGTATATTTTTCAGGCTCCAAAGGCCTACATCAGGGTTCGCGGTCCCAAGAACAGAACCCAAATGTGGCTTCTTCAGGTAGAATAGGTCAGAAGGCCCCAGCAGTAATTTGTACACATGCCATCAGTTTTTAGTAAGACAGAGATGCTTAAAGAACGCCATGCATGTGAAGAGCATTACTGCTTGCTGCTTTCAGATTTCTTGGTGGGCGTGGAGAAAAATAAGGAGTGAGAAACAGAGTGGATGTGGAGTGGTGGTGCTGACATAAGAGTGTTTCCCAGGAACTGGAGGTGTGCAGTGAAATGTTACCAAAGCCCGTAGGCTATATGCACTTGGAAATGGTATCGGGTGCTATAGCTTCCAAAGCAGTGTCCACATTTGGACTTCAAAGTTTCTATACTGAGTAAGATATAGAATTTTCTTAATGGAGTTAAGATAAGAATTAACTCCATTTGGCAAGATAAGAATTAGTTTCTAGTTTCGTATTTTGCAAACTGTGGCGGGGGGGGGGGGCACGGTGGTTGTGAAAAATACAGTCCCCAGTTCTCATCTCAGATCTACTGAATCATTCCTTATGGGGGCTCTGGCCGGGGGCTTGTCTAGAAATTTGAATTTTTAACAAATTCTGGCGATTCTGGTAGATACTTTGGTTTGAGAACCACTATCCTAGGAGGAGTAGATGTTTAGGAGCAAATGTATGTTTTTAATTAACTCGCACATTTAGACAGTCCATTCATTCATTTAGCAACTCTTTATTGATTGATAATCATGGGCTTGCCATGAGCTAGGATCTGGGTATGCAGCTGTGAGACATGATGTGTTTGCTGCCCAGATTGTTTTCCAGACCAGCAGAGGGGACCTTCATCTAGTAATGGTTCCATGACAGCATCTCTACAAGGAGAGCATAACAGATTGTAGGCACCAAAGCAGGGGTCTATTCCAGACTTGGGCATCAGGGCAGGCCTCCTTTGGGCATGAGGCAGAGCTGCCTAACAGTGGGAACAGCATGTACAAAGGTCTCAGACAGCAGAGAGTGGGTTTGCTGGAGCTGTGACAGAAGGCTGGGATGTGCAAGAGTGTGTAGGGTGATAGAGGGGGTACATAAGTGTGGTAAAAAAAGGAGGAGTCATGGGGGGAAAAGCAGGTGGGAGGAGTAGAGGGGATACTGGAGGCACTTGGGTTTGTGGCTGGACTCAGGATGCCAAAGAACAAGCACTTGAGGGGCTTGAAGTGAGGAAGGATACATGGGATCCATGAGGACCTCTGGGGGATCCTCGTTTTGTAAGTTCCGTAAGTCGATGGACACCAGCATGCCACCATCCATGGGTGATTAGGTCAGGCTTACTACTGACCATGGGCAGGCCAAAGTCTTGGCCACCAGGATGGCTGGTTGGGCATGCTGACATCTAGGGAGGTCCTGGAAGTGGATATGGCAGGCAGCCAGGCTGAGCTGTGCTCCAGCTACTCTGGTAAGAGCCTTGCCTCTGTGTGCAAAACACTGTCACTTTTGTAACACTCATATCTGGTCTGTGTCTCTCCCCTAGATCCTGCCTGGTCTCTATATTGGTAACTTCAAAGGTGAGTTGGTTGTTTTTTGGGTCTCTTTTTTTTTTGTATTATTGTGGTAAAATATATATAATATAAAATATGCCCACTTTAACCATTTTAGGTGTACATCTCAGTGGCATTAACTACATTCACATTGCTAACTATCACCACCATCCATCTCCACAACTTTTTCATCTTCCCCAACTGAAAGTTAGTACTTCCAATACCCATTTAGTGCTAACAATAGTACCTATTAAACACTACCTCCTCATTACCACCTCCAGCCCTTGGAACCTACCATTCTACTTTCTGTCTCTATGAATCTGACTGCTCTAGGAACCTTATATAGGTAGAGTCATACAGTATTTGTCCTTTTGTGTCTGGCTGATTTTACTTGGCATAATGTCCTCAAGGTGCATCCATACTGTTGCATGTGTCAAAATTTCCTTCCTTTTTAAGGCTGGATAATATTCCATTTTAAGTATATACTACATTTTGTTTATTCATTCATCTGTTGATGGATATTTGGGTTGCTTCCACCCAAAGGTAAGTTTGCTTTTTAAAAGATCATCTTTAGCCTTCTCACACATGATTGAGCCAAGGTATAAACGCAGTTATTCAAAGCCTGGTCTGGACATGGCCACCACATGTGTCCAGGCCCCTTGTAGGATCCTCATTCCCATGCCCCAACCTCTTAGCCAGTGCTAACAGAGTGGTGTGGATCGTGTAAGTTCCAGTTTGACCTCTGACCTTCATTTTAATTCTGCACACTTGTTGGAACATGATCTAAACAAAATGGCTGAAAGATCCACTTAGGAGCCATGTAATTTATCTATACTCTTTTATCACTTTTTTCTAGTTATTATTAATAAATTTCCAGGAGCCTATTTTTTTTAATCACCTGGAAAAAAATAAGAGGCAATTTTGTCTTTAGCAGATTATTCCCATCTTGTGATGACTTTTCTTTTGATACATTTCTCTGAAGCTTGTTCAATATGTATTTATTGATTTGCTGTCAGCTATTGACTTTTTATTTTTAGCTTCTCTGTCTCAAAATGTTCTATGGTCACAGAGGTGAGTGGAGACCCATAAAACAAAGTGCGTGGTGGCAAAGAGGCTTTTGATTTCCAGAGAGAGGCGGATCCCCATCCCTATACTGTGTGATGCTTTGAGTATATCTAAGTTGAAAACACTGTTTTCTTAGCATGGAGATAGGCTGTACTTCATAGGATGGAATGCAGGTAGGAAACATGCAGAAATAAGTTGGCCACATGGGGTTGAGAGAGCCAAACTTTTCATGGGTATCTGAACAAGATGCCTCCTTCCTGAAACAAGTCAGAAAATTTTTCTGGTCGTTGCCTAAATTTGTGAGTTTAGATGCAATTGATTATAAAAACAATCTCTATGATTTCTCTGCATAATATTTATTCCCTTTTTTTCCCCAGAAGGCCCCTAGTGCTACTAATTCTCCTCAAAGAGAATTAAGCACCAGGAGCTGACAGGTAGCTGCTAGTTGCTACTAGAATGTGTTAATAATACTGAAGTTCCTAAATCAGTAAGTTTTGTAGTTCTGAAAAAGTACCAAGTGCTTTGTTGTAGGTAACCCAGTAGAGCCGTAATACGTTAAAGAGCAAAAATCTTTAGGGATTTATTTAGTGAGTTTTTATTAACTGCTTTCTTGGGGAGTGTCTTTGTATTTGAAACAGAATTTAGGATAATTTCTTAGAAGTAAATTACTAGGTGACGTATTTACAAATTAAAAATTTTAATAAAGACCCAAGATGGCAGCAGAGTAACTGCTCCATCCACTTGCTCCCTGGCCCAGACCAGAATTACAGTCAAAACACAGAGTGGGAAGTGAGTAAGAGTGTCTGTGAGTGAGCAAGTGTCCTGACGAGAGCATGGGGAGTGCGTGGCAGTGGGCAATTACTGGCCCACCTGTAGGGTGCCCAGGAGCCAGAAGCCTGGGCTTTCTGAGTGGGACCACCACCACTGCCCAGCCCAGCATTTCTAGCAGCACAGAGCTGGGCAGCAGCCAATTGCCTTAGTAGCCACAGCTACCAGGGTGGAGAGAGAAGGCTTGGGAGGTGTGGCCCCAGAAACAGCACAGCAGCAGGAGCAAGCCCACCCCAGGCTGAAGATCTCTGGAGGGAGCAGCGGGGTCAGTGCTCCACCACCACCCTATGTTAGTGATATAGCTGTGAGGCTCTTCCCAACACCAGCCAGGAAAGATCTAGAGAAAAACTTTATCTAAAACTATCAGAGGCTCTGAAAGGCCATGGCTAGCCCTGACTGCAAGAGATGGTGTGATTCTTGGGGAGGGGGAGCGTGTGGAGAACAGGCCCCCCAGGGACCAGTGCAACAGCTTAGAGACCACACAGGAACTCTTTCTAAGGGGACCCCCATGCCTGTGCATGCAAGCATAGCAGCTCTGCTAACCAAAAACTCGGAGGGATAGAGCACACTGAAGGAATGGTAGGACTTGACCCAGCATGCCTCACAAGCAGAGGCCTGTTCAGAGTGGAGAATTCAGGCTGAACATCCTGCGAGAGAGTGGCAGGCTCAGGACTGGAAGGCAAGAGCTGAATGCCTGAGATTTTCTGTAGCCAGCCTGATCCCCTCACAGACAGGGAAGCCCAAACCCCACCTGCAGGACTACAGTCCCTGCAGATCAGCGAGTCCAAGCTCAAGAGTTTCCTGCTGGATACATTACCACAGAGGAAAGAAGAAAAAGCTTTGAAAGAGCCATTCCCTAGCACTATGAGCTACAGATCCCTGGGCCCTGATCTACTAAACCCAGAAGAGCAGAGAGAGAATAGAGACAGGTACACAAAGGCATTATCTTCTCTCCTGCATACCTGTTTAATATTCATTTCTCATCCTTCAAGTTTGAACCTAATCTGTCACCAAGTTTTATATTATAGTTTATTTCAAATCCCATATTTTTCTCTTCCCTTCTCCTACTCCATTTTACCTTCTTTCTTCCTCTTCTTATTTTTGTTTTAAATTCTGTTTTCTCTCTTGCCATGACTTCTTTTTGTTCCACACTCTATTTCTCCCCTCTCTATTTGTAGTTATCATTAGTCATCTCACATTTTTTTTTTCCTATTCTTAAAATACCCTTAGTCTCTCTCCACCACTATCAATCTTTGCTCATTGCTTGTGGGTAAGGTGGTGGTCGTGGCATTTCTTCAATCTTATTTCTAGATAGTCACTATTTATGAATTTCAAATCTCAAATATTACTGGTCCCCTGGCCTCCATTTTGCTTTCCTCCTGCCCATTTTTTCATTTTAAATATTAATATTTCCATGTCTTAGTCTTATTTTTATTCCTCATTCTTAGTAGTCCTTCTCTCTATTCCCTCAAAATAACTTCTCTTTCCTCTAGACATTTCATAAGCTTTTCTTCCTTTTTTCCCTCTTATTCCCATCCCACCTATATAAATCTTAACTCATTTGTTGTTGATATTGCTGTGGTGGCTCTTTTTCTCCAATTAGGTCCCTATTATTTTTTTAAATGTACTTTTTTGTTGTTTTTTTCTCTCACTCAAAATATATATATTTTTAATTTGCTTAAATCTAGTACTATGCTTCCTTTCTCTTACTCCATTCTGACTCCCTTCCTCCCTTTTTTATTTACAACGTCGATTTTATTTTCTTACTCTCTTCATATTGTCTCTATTCCCTACTCTTACTATTATTCCTCCCTCAAGCCTTGCAAAATCATTTTTGTTGCAGTTAGTCGAGTCATCTCATATTTGTTTTTCCTTTCTTATAATAGTCTTAAACCCTTTACACCTTTATTAATATTGTCTCATTTGCTGTTGATAGTGTGGTTGTCAGTGGAGGTTATTTTTGCAGGTGTGCATTTGTGTTCTGGGCTGTTTGGTATTGTTCAGGCAATATCTGTACAACAATATACAAGATGTGGTGGGCAGAGTGACTCTCAGTCTGCCACAGTAGGGAAAAAGACCCACCAAAGAATGATGCGACAACAACCAAAACCCAGTTACAACTAGGGAGACCACATAAATAGCATAAAGAGCAGCCAAAGAGCATCAAGCCAAGGAGATCAAGGAGTCTGCACCACTGATTCCCATAGGTTTCCTACCACAGAAGGTCACACCACGAACACAGAGAGTGAAAGATGATCACTCTAATATGCAGAAACAAACAAGAAGGGTCACTTAAAATGGGGAGACAATGAAACAATCCCCAATCAAAAGGAAAGGAGGAATCCCCAGAAAGACTACTAAGGGAAATAGAGACAAGAAAACTATCTCACATCTAGTTCAAAATAACGGTCATAAGGACACTCAAGGAGCTCAGTGAGAACTACAAAGAACTCCAGAGAAGCTACAGGGAACTTACTGCAAACACGCCAGCATGAAAGAGGGTGTAGAAATTATCAATAAGAGCCAGGAGGAAATGAAAATATAATATCTGAAATGAAGAACACAGTAGAAGGAATTAAAAGCAAGTTAGGTAAAGCAGACAATTGAATCAGTAAGTTGGAGGACAAAGTAGAAAGAAATTCCCACACAGAGCAACAAAATGAAAAAAAGACTAAAAAAGAACAAAGAGGGTTTAAGGCAGCTGCAGGACAATGTGAAACATAATAATATCTATATAATAGGGATACCAGACGAAGAGGAGGAGCAAGGGATAGAAACCCTGTTTGAAAAAGGAATAACAGGAAACTTCCCTAACTTGATGAGAGAAATGTCAGACAAGTGCAGGAAACACAGAAGATTCCCATCAAGATGAACCCAAAGAGGCCCATTCTAAGACACATCATAATTAAAATGGCAAAATTCCAAGACAGGGAGAGACTCTTAAAGGCAGCAAAGGAGAAATAACTAGTAACATACGAGGGAGCTTCAATAAGGCTAGCAGCTGATTTCTCAACAGAAACACTACAAGCCAGAAGGGAATAGCAAGAAATATTCCAAGTAATGAAAAGCAAAGACCTGCAACCAAGATTATTCTACTCAGCAAGGCTCTCATTTAATGGAAGGTAAACTAAGAG